AAAACTTCGCAGACAACAAACTATATTAACTAATTAAAAAACTAATATCACCCCAAAAAAGAATTGTTCTAATTCCACGTTATATGATTTGTAAAACCTTACATCATATAGCCATCTATAGTATGTCCAGGCGTTATCTCCTTTATAAATATAAAACACAGGAGTACATTGGAAACTATATATTTAATACCAACCTAATATTACTTTACTGAATATATTGTATAACAAATTTTAACATACTTTGACGTAAATGGCCCAACTCTTAGCCATTTAGTATAAAGTAGGCAGTGGGGTTCTGAGAAGTAAATTACTGGGGGCAATCACTTTCCACATAAAATGCCCTCTTCCTTCCAAATATAAAACTTTAGAAATGAGGCCCAAACGCTAGTGCCACGCATGATAGATTCAAGTCATACCATTGGGGTTTGAGGAAGTGCTCCCCGAAAAGGCCCATAATATGTAATTTCGTTGACTTTGGCAGGTGAAATTAAATGTGTCATTTAAAATGGATTTTATTAACTGATATACAAGATTCCACGTCCCACATTCCTTTCTTCGTCTTCAAAAGAACAATAGGTAGGGGCGCAATGGCCAACTGCCCCTCTGCCAACATGCCACCACAAGTAGATATTGACCGCCAAATATACAATATTGAACTCAGCGGTGGCATCATTCCACTAGAGCTTTAATTAACATCTAGTTTCCAAAAATTAAGATTTTCATCATTTCCAAGATGAAGATCAAATCCACTAAATATATCGTCATCATCATGTGTTTACAACCTTTCTCGTCCTCATCATCTTTACCCCAGAAGTCGTTGCCGTAAAATGGGAGACAACACGTTCAAGATTTTCCCAAAAAATTTTTCACCCTAGTACAGAAATGGGTTTAAGTGTTTTCTATGTAGTCCAGTTTGAACACTTTAAAATTCTTGCTCAAAACACTGTCAAGCGCCATCGAAAGCTTCAACATTGAAGCTTGCCTGAACAGCGGATTGTCGCTAAACTTCATTTAGAAATGAGTGTAAAACTGCAGAATCTGCATTTTATGTCGTATCCTATATCAAGAATCCTGAAATTACGTAATCAAAATGGCATCGATCGATTGCAAGACATCAAATTATTGAAATTTCATTTAGAAAAGAGTGTAAAACTGCAGAATCTGCATTTTATGTCGTATCCTATATCAAGTGTCCTTGAAATTGCGTAATCAAAATGGTGTCGATCGATTGCAAAAGACATCAAATTATTGAAATTTCAACGGTGAAATACTCAAAAACTGCTGGACTTTGAAGGTGGAAACAAGTGAATTATCACTTTCTATGATATATTCTACTTATCTATCGTGTTAAAATGTAGTAGCCGATGGGGGGCAACGAAACTGAACGAAATCAGAACGCCACAGAATACGACGTAGTAATCGTTGAAGCACAATCCTATACAAGTGGCACATGTCATATAATATACGGAAATTAGCATGAGCTTGATTCATTATTGGCCAAACGAATTTTTGTTCTCGTGAAAATTTTCGCTAAAAATTATAAATGTAGTTAAAACTTAAAAGCTCACAATATTTTACCATTGCAAGCTTCGCACGTGACCACAAATATCAATCATAGGTACATATTGTTTGGGTGAACTATATGAGGCTGTTGTACTCAGTTATCAGTAATTATTTGCATTGCAATTGTTTATTTATTAATCTGTTTGTTCTGGTCACCGTAGTCTGCTGGTGAATCAAGTGAAAAGCTGAAAATGAAAGACATTTTTTCTCTCGAGTCTTATGAATTACAAAAATTATGATAGTGAATTTACATAACGTCAAAATAACAACGAACCTCAACACGTGTGTCATACTTCAGCTAAGGAAATAATGTCTAATAAAGTAAATGATTTGAACCGGGGAGTATCGTTACATGTTTGTAAATGTAGATCCTGCATATTGGTATAGTCCTGAGAAGGACTGTTTTTGTTGTTGTTGACTGACGTTTCCACAACCTTAGCGGTATTCATCTTCAGAGTCAAATGAGGAGTAAACGTCAGGTTAGCCGTATTTGTTATCTGGTTCTTACGTCATTGTATTGTGTGTACAGGAAATGTGTGGGTGTCAATTGGGTATTGTCATTGTGAATTAGTGTGAAGTGAAATGTTTTTAGTTGTGATGTGTGATTTAGGTGTGATGTTTTTAGTTGTAATGTGTGGGTGTCAATTGTGTATTGTCATTGCGAATTAGTGTGAAGTGTAAAGTTTTTAGTTAATCGTTTGTTTGTATTGTGAATAAGTCGTTTGTAAGGTGCCGGTAATTGCTGTGATCTGTTCCGGGGTTGTTCCAAGTTGGTATACCAACTTTCTAATGTAAGGCGTTGTCTATAGTCAGTACTGTAAGCAATGCATTTTGCCGGTAATTGCTGTGATCTGTTCAAGGGGGTTTGTTCCAGTTTGTGTTGGTCTAGTAGTCTAGTAGTCTAAATTGTAATGCAATCTATAGAGGAACGGGCGCTCACGACTTACTAACATGTACTACCTTTCTGGGTTCCTCTTCGTAGATGACACAATCACAGCACTACATGCAGACGAGATTGATCACCTTCACACTCACATCAACAAACAGAACAGCCACATACAATTTAACAAAGATGTCGAAGAAAACGGAACTCTTCCTTTTCTCCACTGTTTTGTAAAACATGACAATCAAAAACTACGAACAACAGTTTATCGCAAGCCAACACATACTGACCGACTACTAGACCAATCATCTTACAACCCTACCTCACACAAAGCCACCACAATCAGAAGATTGACAAGACGTGCACAAATCATATGTGATTCACCGGACGCTCTACACAACGAAAACAACTATCTCAATCGTGTTTTTGACAAAAACAACTATAACTCTTACTTTATCAAACGAAACACTTACAAACCCAACGAACCCAACGAAACAAACAACTCAGTGACAAAAGCAACGATACCTTACATCAAAGGTACGTCTGAGACTAACTCGCGTATCTTACGACCATACAACATACGTGTCGCACATAAACCAATCACAACGTTACGACAAGTACTAACGAACATAAAGGACAAAGAACAACCCAACAAACGACAAGGTGCAGTTTACAAAATAAACTGCTCCGAGTGCCACGCCTCCTACATCGGGGAAGCTGGCAGGAACTTATACATAAGACTTACTGAACACTAACGAGCTACTAAGAAACAAGACAAAACTAATCACATTGCCGAACATCACAGAATCTCAAAGCACAACATTGACTGGGACTCGGCAAAATGCATTGCTTACAGTACTGACTATAGACAACGGCTTACATTAGAAAGTTGGTATACCAACTTGGAACAAACCCCCCTGAACAGATCACAGCAATTACCGGCACCTTACAAACGACTTATTCACAATACAAACAAACGATTAACTAAAAACTTTACACTTCACACTAATTCACAATGACAATACACAATTGACACCCACACATTACAACTAAAAATATCACACCTAAATCACACATCACAACTAAAAACATTTCACTTCACACAAATTCACAATGACAATACACAATTGACACCCACACATTTTCTGTACACACAATACAATGACGTAAGAACCAGATAACAAATACGGCTAACCTGACGTTTACTTCTCATTTGACTCTGAAGATGACTACCGCTAAGGTTGTGGAAAAATCAATCAACAACAACAAAAACAGTCCTTCTTAGGACTATACCAACCTGTATGATCTACATTTACAAACATGAAATAATGTCTATTAACATATATCCGACACTTGCAATAAACAAAGCCCTCGCTAATCGCTCTCACGTTTTAAACATTATTTGCAATCGGCACATGCATGATATTTCGAAAGACAGTTCTTAAAGAATTTTATGACAAAATGAAACAACAAATCACACGGCCGTACATGAGGCTGTAGAGAGTATTCATAAGTCGCTAAGCATATTCAGACAAAATTTCTGTAGTTTGTTGCTTGAGCTTGTCAGTTGAATGTTTTATATCTGTCGGAATCCTTTCTTTCCAATGCTTTCATGGTTTTCAATTGAAGCAAATATCGCTATAGTCTTTAAAAAATTTTATGTCTTAAATCATATTTCTTTCTGATTTGTCTGTAGGCAGTTAACTATAAATCTCATTGTGGCTAGTCTGTAAACCTCAATGAGACCCTCGTATACACATAAGTCCGTAATCTAAATGCATGTTGATCATCGGTGGATTAAACCAAACGACTTTTTATTATTCTCATGCATAAACGTCAGAAAACGCTTTTGAAAGACAATCAAGATAATATCATGAAATATTTTAAATCAAAAATGGTTTGCTGTGAAAACGATTGTGATTTACCGTAAAAGTTCGTGAGAAACCCAAACGACTTACTCTAAATAGAACTTACTTCTAGTCCGAAGTCGACTCCTAGGTCGAGTCCTCGGCTTGGTAAATAGTATATCTCCCTTTTCTATACATTTTATTAACAACATCACATGACACCTATACAACGTCGACGTATCATAAACCAACCTACACAGGATTATTGACAAACTACTTCAGTTTCACACCACTTTCTTACAAGACTGGATTAATAGGCACACTTCCAGAGAGAGCATACAAAATTAACAACACCGACAATGGCTTTCAACAAGACCTAAAGAACATCACATCTATTTTATTGCGCAACTCTTTCCCATAACATTTCATCAACTAAACAGTCAAACGATACCTCCATGACAAAACTAATACTAACTACAAAGCAAACACTAAAACATCCGATATAACAACCACGACCAACAATAAAGAACAGTCCATAACTCAGTCATACTCCTTATTATACTGAAGATGGCATCATGAGATGTTGAAACAGGTTTATTTTAAAAAACTTGTCGTTTTTATTACATGCAAATTTTTATCTAGCAGATATCATTTTTATTCTGTTTTAAATTTCACCAAAAGGGAAATATATCTACAGCACATCTTACCTTTCGTACATACGTTATTGTCCCAAACTTGAAAGTCTTGTTTATCCTTAAAATCCTGTTCGTTTTCAATCTCATATTGCTCACCTACCTATACAGATAATAGTGTGAATTAATAGCTGAACCTATGAATAGATATGAATCAACCGTGACCCTCTGATTTTGTTAAAGTAAATTGGGGTCTGGACTCGATTAGTAACAAAACTGAGGACTAGATAAGTTCAATTTTTAAATGGCCACTTAAGCTTGGTTTGATCCAAACAGACGGAAATTTGATAAAAAGATTAAGTCTATTGAATTAACACCTTATTTTTTGGGGGGATCGAGCTTTTTATGCAAATTCTCGCTTATTCAAGTCAGTTGTTCAATGTCAAAATGATTGGACGAGGTAGATAAAATTCAATGAGCATGGCTTTAGTCCAATCTGTTTTAGTGTATATTGGCAGAAACGTAAAAGCCGCACAAATCCTTCCTAAAATGGCTTTTTAAACCTCAAAAAAAAACTAAATATTATAACAATGAGGACAGAAACGTTCTACCAGTATAGTCAAGCCCAGTCTAGTCCGCGCTTTACCAATCCAGGACGTGGATTTAAAAGTTCATTACGCATTTTACAGTGCAGTACAGTATACAGTGAGTTTTACGACATGCCATCCCGCCATGCAGCCCCAAAAAATTTAAACACCTTGATTATACGGCTGAAAAACGTGTTAATGGGGAGATTATTGATAAATCTTTGTCAATAAAGCTTTGTCTTTACATAGCCCATGGAAAAATGCAGCCAAAAAATGTCAGTGGCATGTTAAAAGATTGCTTACAAACAAGATCCTATGAATGAACTGAGGTAGAGTTCACAGGAAACTAACTAACTAGAGTAAGATCTATTAAATACTAAATGTTGGAAAAGTTGTACATAATTCATTTTGAACGTTTCCCTATATAGATTGACTTTACACACTCTCGTAGTTCGCAGTAATGATAATTTTTCATTAGTTATTTTGACCGCCTGTTTATAAGGGTTGAAAATTATACATACTACACAAATGGTGGTGCAGGAGTACCTTTGAAAACAAATCCGTCGAATTCGTCCGAATATCTGTAATCTCATCAGATAGACCAGTCAACAGCAGGGGTATCAGTTTATGAAAGTAAGAATATCTGAAAGAAAATACTATTACCAATAGAACATTTACTTATAATAAAAAACATACTCCAAAGAGTATCACGATGCAAACCCAGTATTTAAGTTACACTAACAAGATATAAGATTTAAAGGGTAATATTTCGACTTCATTTTAGACTCATTATGAAGTCAAGTGATGATTTACAAGGGATTATTTACATGACGATATTATTTGTAGTTTTTTGTATTATTTCAAAGTGCATCTATCAGCAAAACTTTTATTTGCGAGATCAAAACTAGGAGTAATGTCTAACGTATCGGTGAAAAAATTTTCAAATTAGTCAAATCATCATGTTATTACGGTTTTAAAGTTGCTTTTTAAATGTAGCTTGTCTGTCATGGCGTGAATTCTGGATCAAGCCAAATTCTGACGTCATCCAACGTAGTTGGTACATACATCTTGTACTCATATATTGCCAACGTCACAAAATAAGTCGTTCTAAACTTTTCGAACGACGGACAAGGTCCATTAAAAGGAGCATTTTTGCCAACTTTAAACAGCGATAAAATTGGAACGATTTGACGAACTTAAAAACTTTTTTATTGATACGTTGGTAATCACAGCAAAATTTCATATCGCAATTAAAAATTTTTGTTGAAAGGAGCACTTTAAATAAAATATTTCTTCCCAGAGAAAGCGTTTTTCTTAAAATAAAAATGATAATAAAAGAACATCTGGGTAATGCAATCGTTTAAGGCAAAAGACAAGTGTAAGTACTTAACATCATTTTTGAATGACAGATTACTTTCATTTTATTATATGGCAAGCGTTTGATTGGCTCGGAAAAGTTTTCGCCTGTGCGTAATTTTACAAATAAATGTAAACAAACTTCGTAAAGTAAACAGCAAACGTTTGTAAAACGAAAAAATAAGCAAAGAAAATATCTTTAAAGAAAGAACACTCAAAAAGTGAGTTTTGCTATACAGGTGACACAATTTAAAGCGACTTAATTTTTACTGACGAAAACTACAGAAGCGAAGGTAAGTCGCTGCAAAACAAAGAGGATGAAAGAAAAAAAGAAAGCTTTCCAGGTCAAACAACGCTATATAAAAAACCTTTTATTAACCCCGCTTTTCTTATTCATAGCTAATGGCTTATGTTAAAAGTAGTAAACTCCATACCAAAGACGGTCAAATTAGCCACATATCAGAAAACCATCAAAATTGATGCAAACGTTTACAACACGACTAAAGTCGCATTTATATACAGTGTACTCCACGATTATTGTAACATTTGATAAAACAATAAAAGTACGTTTACACCACTGGTTTACACCATTGAACTAAAATACATTTGTAACGTTAAGTCAGGGGAGTAAAATAAAGACAGATTTTTTCATTTTTGTAAGTTGCGCCAGTCCCATTGTAAAAAATTTAAAACAATGGCATTTTTATGTTTGTAAAATTTCAAAAGTAAACCTTGCGGTAGTTTTTCAAAATACTATCGAATTTGAAGAGTATTAGTCAAAATTAGTTAAAGAATGCCAAATAAAATTGGCCAAATGTCATTGCATTGCTGAGAAATTTTTGAAGCAAAGTCGAAAATTATGAAAAGACCGCTCGATTTTTTTGCTTTTTCTCAGTTTTTGAATGTTCCAGGCATGCCCAAACGTTCAAACCACGTAAATATTGTAGTTCCATGTTAAATACACAAGCCTATATGGTTTCGTAAAAATTGAGCGATTTGTCAAAAAGAAAAATGTGTTTTTTAGAATCATTTTTCATGCCATGAAAATAGACGTACTGCAAATATATATACAGCTCAGTGTCATAAAGAAAGTGAAATATCTTCGCAAAAGAGTTCTTAAAAAGCTATTTTATTGATGTAAATTCATAAAAATCCAGAATATTTCAAGTACGTAACGCTCCAATTTCTCATTTTGTCTGTGTAAGGCAAATAATGACAAAGGCGCCCAGAAAATCACTTAGCTAGCTAAATAGTTTAAACAAACCAAAACTCTCCCTATTTCATGGTAACAGACCGTGCGCCCACTGACCAGTATCGTAATTACCTGGACGGGAAATCATCATCCAAATTACTATATTTTATCAACGCGCGGCCGGTTATCAAAAACATGGCTGATTTGGGATGAAAATGTCAGCGGAAAAACGCGGGCTCTCAAAATTAAAATTTTTCCGCCCACCCGGATTTTCCTCCAAAATTTATCACTATATTGTATGATATATCTATATACGATGATAGAAAATTTCAAAGCTTTTTTTCCTAACAAAAAATTTTTGAAATCTCATCGATGAAACATGCTGCAAACTTATGTAGTATATGAATGCCGAAGTAGTGCAAGAAAAGAAAATATTTCATGACACGGGTGAGCAAGATAATATTGTTTGTCATTCAAAGAGTCGAGTTATATTGTTGTTGGTCAATGTGTGATGGCATTGGCACGTATTTTGTTGTTTTTAAACTTAATTATACTTTAGACTGTGTTTGTCCAATAGTTTTTATTCTTTACTTAATACGCTAAGCAGCCAATTCTTTTCGAGCTATACATGTCTTGCAATCAAGTGAACTTACCTATAATTAATTAGGATTTGTTTTTAATATTTTTTGAAAATATGATGGATTAGTTAAGAATAGAGTTGTATTGCAATTTAACAATATTTCAAAACACTGTGGTAAATGAAGTATGTGGTGTGATGTAGGTATAGCCTGCAATTTGTTCATGCTATGTAAATTTTTTGGTGTAAAAAGTAAATTTTTAAAGAAATCAATAATGCCAATGGTGAAAAACGTACATAGCATAAACGAATTTTTAGTCTGGCTATGCCACAGTTCTAAGTAGGTTGATACACCAAAACCAAGATAAAAGAAATGCTCTGAGCCAAGACTTGTTTCCATCTTTATTCAAGAAAAGCTTATAATTTTGTGCATGAAAAGTTCAATTTACCATTGGCACATCAGATAACAATCCACACTTGGTATAGTCTTATGTGAACAAGGATTTACATGGGATGAATCAGTTGCAATGAAGTCAAAGACAAAAAAAAGGAGGAAGAAGAGCCGGGAGTGCGTTGGAAAGCTTGTTGAAATTGTATGTTGAGTTTTGGTCTTTTGGTTGAGTCAATACTCCAGCCAGATAAACTGGCCAGAATGTATATAGATCAATATTATGAAGAGTTGTTTTGACGAATGTAGATTCACTTATGAACAAAATTTCCAATGCCATCGGATAGGATACCAAGCATATGAGGTGAGAAACAGTTTTGTTGTAAAATACGTTCGTCAAATATAATTTTACGAGTTTTATAGTTACATGTTTGTATATGTAGATCGTCCAGGTTAGTATAGTCCTGAGAAGGACTGTTTTTGTTGTTGTTGACTGGCGTTTCGAAAACATTAGCGGTAGTCATCTTCAGAGTCAAATGAGGAGTAAACGTCAGGTGATAGCCGTATTTGTTATCTGGTTCTTACGTCATTGTATTGTGCGTACAAGAAATGTGTATTGTCATTGTGAATTAGTGTGAAGTGTAATGTTTTTAGTTGATCGTTTGTTTGTATTGTGAATAAGTCGTTTGTAAGGTGCCGGTAATTGCTGTGATCTGTTCAGTGGTGTTTGTTTCAAGTTGGTATACCAACTTTCTAATGTAAGCCGTTGTCTATAGTCAGTACTGTAAGTAATGCATTTTGCCGAGTACCAGCCAATGTTGTGCTTTGTGATTCGGTGATGTTCGGCAATGTGATTAGTTTTGTCTTGTTTCTTAGTAGCTCGTTAGTGTTCAGTAAGTCTTATGTATAAGTTCCTGCCAGCTTCCCCGATGTAGGAGGCGTGGCACTCGGAGCAGTTTATTTTGTAAACTGCACCTTGTCGTTTGTTGGGTTGTTCTTTGTCCTTTATGTTCGTTGGTACTTGTCGTAATGTTGTGATTGGTTTATGTGCGACACGTATGTTGTATGGTCGTAAGATAAGCGAGATAGTCTCAGACGTACCTTTGATGTAAGGTATCGTTGCCGTTGTCACTGAGTTGTTCGTTTCGTTGGGTTCGTTGGGTTTGTAAGTGTTGCGTTTGATAAAGTAAGAGTTATAGTTGTTTTTGTCAAAAACACGTTTGAGATAGTTGTTTTCGTTGTGTAGAGCGTCCGGTGAATCACATGATTTGTGCACGTCTTGTCAATCTTCTGATTGTGGTGGCTTTGTGTGAGGTAGGGTTGTAAGATGATTGGTCTAGTAGTCGGTCAGTATGTGTTGGCTTGCGATAAACTGTTGTTCGTAGTTTTAGATTGTCATGTTTTACCAAACAGTGGAGAAAAGGAAGAGTTCCGTCCTCTTCGACATCTTTGTCAAATTGTATGTGGCTGTTCTGTTTGTTGATGTGAGTGTGAAAGTGATCAATCTCGTCTGCATGTAGTGCTGTGATTGTGTCATCTACGAAGAGGAACCAAAAAGGTAGTGCATGTTTGTAAGTCGTGAGCGCAACGTTCCTCTATAGATTGCATTACAATTTCAGCAACTAGAACAGATAGATGTTCAGTACCACAACCACCCACAGACTATACGGACTACCAAAACTTCACAAACCACAAATACCATGCGACCAGTTGTATCTTTCTGTGGTTCGCCTACTTGCGAACTCTTAAAGTACTTGACTGAAATACTGTAACCACTTACAAGCAAATCAAAACACATGCTACAATCCAGTGAAACTTTCATGAAAAAACTGAGCACTATACAAATACCGGACAACTATATACTAGTGTCTTATGATGTGAAATCACTGTTCACCAGTATTCCACTTAATCTGGCACTTATTTGTACAAAAACCCTCATTACAAACATCACGGACGTACTGCCATTACCGACAGAAGACATTATGGAGCTACTGGAGCTTTGCCTCACCTCGATTTACTTCCAATACAAAGGTACACACTACAAACAATTACATGGAACAGCAATGGGCTCACCCGTTTCTGTTGTAGTTGCTGAAATTCATCCGATATTTCGAGTCGGGCGACTTTCCAAATAAGGCAAGCACACGTAATATGGCGTCAGTGTCGGCCGAACAAATCGTTGTGTGTAAACCATAGATATAATAGAACTAGATTGCTGACGAGTGTGACGTAATATAAGACTTATTAAGAAGGCAGCGTGACATTCATGATAAATATAAGATGGCGCGGGAGCCGGGCAAAAAACTTAGGGCTACTATTAGGCAATTGTTGTTTTTTGCAGTTTACTTCGTTTCAGTGTTTTCAAACTCATCCAATCAAGTTTTATTGGAAACAAAGCGTCATTAATAATCTTTTGAAGCAACATGGACAATTATTATTGGAATACAGGCAAAAATATCGCTTGCAAAGTGTAGTGTAAATTAATCGTTTGGTTGTCTCGAGGCGTTTGTATACCAAAATAAACGGATTTCGTCTGCTTTAGCACCCAAACTGGTTCGTCCGCGTTTAAATACATCATATTCAATACATACAAAAAGATGGGAAAATTAATCTTCATATTTTTTACATAAATTTCAATTTAAGATACTATTCGTTCTTTCACTCTTCAAATACGTGTTGGCACTTAACAGACAAAGTCCTAATCGTTTCAAAAAAGGATGAGTTTTGTCAGTTTTTGTCGCATAGATGGAGCTCCTTTACGAACTATTCTCTCATAGTAGAGTTTGGAGAACTGGTGTACAAATATTTTACTGTAGAGGTATGTAACTGAAAACTGTATTTGTATGGCAATTTTCTTTACGCGTAAAATTTTATGTATTGAATGGTGAAATATCCGTAAGTTTTTATCTTCTTTACTTATCTTTGTACATAGGTGTCATAAAATGAACCAACTGAGCAGTATATCATACAGTCTCACAAGTCATTAGTTGTATGTTAACAATGTGATGCAAATTAGACATTCTTAGTTATAAAATTGTATTGGCATTGTAGAAGAAGAAAAAATAATAATAGTAACATGATAATAATAATAATTGGATTTACTTAATAGGGATAACCTCCTCAATTTAGAAACAACTGGTGTCAAGGATGGTGTTGTAGCTAGCATAATAAAAACATATACTATAACAAAGGATATTGAGCATATAAGTCACATATATTTTATTCACAGTTATATCTTATAATCTGGGCCATAGCCAGCATTTTTATTTGGTCATGCTATTCTAACGTTGCTGTGTTTACTGATGGTAAAATCAAGAGATTTTAATGAAATGAACAATGATGCAGTGAAATTGACATAGCAACAATAAAATATTCAGTCTGGCTATGCCACCGGTAATATCTATATCAAATATTTCATAAGACTGTATATAAATTCAATAAACACCTTAGCTCTGGTAACAAAAATAAGTACTTTATACAGAGCTTTACAACTCTCTCCAAAAATTGTATTGTAACAGTATCTTGAGTTATGCATTTGAATGTTACTATGTCAGATTTTGGAATAATTAGTAACATAACAAGCTTCTGAGCATATGATTCCTTCTATTTCGTATAACAACTTAGCTGTAAGATCTCATCAGTATAGCCAATGTTCCTGGATACAATTACGTGAGATGAGGCAAGTTTCCTCAAGTTACGTTTCCCAACATTAACAGCTTCTCTAAGATCTTGTCAGTAAACAATAGTGCTGCAGTGTAATGTATCTCTTTGCTCCTCTCTCCATTCATTCAAAGTCGAATGGCCTTGCTAAACTGTGGATGAATCTCACATATCAGTACGAGTACAGTGGGAGTACCTTCGTAAATAAATTGCTTTTTTGTCATAAATATTCAGATTGTTTTCCCCATCTTTCTATAAATTGTCAATATGATATATTTCAATGCGCAACAAACCAGTATGGGAGCTAAAGCTGACAAAATCTGTTTATTTTAGTGGACGAACGACTCGATACAACCAAACGACCAATTTACACAATATTTCGAAAGTGATATTTTCGCCCGTATTTTAATAATAACTGTCCAATGTGGCTTCAAAACACTTGCAATAACGATTTGTTTCCATTAAAACTTGATCGGAAGAGTTTGAAAACAATGAGAAGAAGTAAATTGCGAAAAACATCAATTGCTTTAGAGTAACTATGTTTTTTGCGGGGTTCCCGCGCCATCTTGGATTTATCATGAATGTCACGCAATATGGCGGCTCGTCAGCAATCTAGACCTACTATATCTATGGTGTAAACGCACCTTTAGAAAAGAAAAAAGTGCCGACGTTGTTCAGTTACCTATCTCTTAGATGAAGCAACCATTTACCAACAACAGAGAAGACCATCATTCTTACAGCAGGATTGTCATCAAACGTTCGCTGAGCCAAATGAGGAAGAGCAATGTCGACATCTTTCCCGTCGCTACCTTGTATTACTACGCCGATAGTCTGAAAAAGTCAAAAAAGGAAGTAATGTAGATGAAAGTATACCACGAAACCTGGAAAAGATGTGCATTTATAACTTTGTTCAAGCAACAACTTCGATAGCTCACGACATTCATGAATAAAGTTATTCTTAAAATCTGTTGAAAAATTGGCTATGACAAATTGTCATTTTAAATGCATTTACCTCTATCACAGCAAGTCTGACTTTGGAATGTTGATGACTTATTACAAGCATTAAGGGCTTCACAAAAACTTCTGCCTGACAGTAGAACTGCTTTGGTATCATTTTCGCCAAAAGGCAAATGCACTTGCAGCCTTCCTGTACCAAAAATTGTAAAATTTTCATTTTGACATTTATTCATTTTGACGTCTTCAATTCTTCATAAAACTTTTCTTAAACCACTTAATAAAACAAAAACAATAAAACGCGAGCGGTGATTGTGCAAACCGATCTGAGCTCAATCAATTGAATCAATCAAAGCGAATTTGCAAAGAATACATGTTAGAGGTAAAATTAATACGGTTGTTTTTGACTTGTCTGTTTCGCATCATTGCTATTTTCGTGTTTGCACAAATTTATGCAAGCCACGGACACGTTGGTGAGAACTCTTGAGCAGATGCAAAGGTCTGCTCAGCTTGCATAAGCCTGAGAAAACACATTAAACATCTTTTATTTCTTGATTTAAAATATAGTCGCCGCAATCTATAAGTTCATTTCAGGAAGATGCGTGACGTCACAACAGGGCATTAGTTTAAAGATGGCAGCTTTTGACAAGGAACACGATCAATTTGCACAAGACGATTTGGGTAAATGGAAGTCGTCATTAAATACTGAGCTGCATATGTTTAGTGGAGGTGACGATGGTAATAATAGTCCAAATGTTTTTATCGGTGAAGATGAATTTGATCGCGAATATAAAAGTCAGAACGTCTTGCATCTAATAACTTTAATCATGTTAAAATATTTGTTTTTTCTGTGCACTTTGCATATTTTAAGCAACAAAATTATTCAGATAATGAAAAAATAGTGAATTTCTTCTCGTTATGTCATTTACTGCTTCTATTATAGAGACATAGTGGGCAGAACATGGCTTTTTCGTCAAGATTGTCTGTGTATAGTTGTATTTCGCACGAAAAGCTTGCCCTGTTGTGACGTCATTTTGCAAACCTACACACTTAAAAAACAGCAGTCCCATTTTTTTTTGTTTTCTTTCATGTTAATGGGAAATATACGTAAAAAATATACTAAAAAGCCCTTAAACTGTGATTTTGACTATCTCTCACCATAAATAATTTTAGAACTCGCATCATGAAAAACGCAATTTCTGTAGTTTAGACATGCAGAACGATGATTCTGCAATGACTATGATAAATGCGCAGTGAACATGCCATGTTAAAACTGAACTTTGAATTGAACTTTGAAAAATTATTGCGGTAAGGTAATCTAAGAAATACGTCCTATGCAACCCCCTCCCCCCCCCCCACACACACACACACCAAAGCGTTAGTTTGACTATCCCACAGACAATTTTCACTACGACTCTACGTCGCTTCGTTCCATACAAATATATATGAATGAAATTAACGACCATGCGTATACCACGAGTAGAGACACTGACTTTATGCATGAGATACCTTCTTTACGTGATGAAATGGATCAGCGATTGCTTTACATAAAGTCGTCACAAAGTCATCGACATATAAGGCTATGTTTTCTTTACAGATTACGACGAGTGCAGTCAGCAATTCCATGATCAACAAGCGGAGTTCTTCGCAGGTCTCTACAATTTCTTGTTGACCCAAACGTTGAACGCAAACAGGAATGACATATGGTAGAAATGGTGTCATATCTTCAAGGCGGGTAGATGAGCTACATGCAAAAAAGGTATACATTAAAAAATAATATTTAAATCATATACATACTATGAGATTTGAAACTATGAGATTTGTTATTCTCTTTGTCGTGTTATCGACAAACAAAAATATGAAGAAATATTAGCGCATATTTTTCTTATTTTGCTTCATGTTTAATGAGCTAAGCTAAGTCGAGCCTTTTCCAAGTCACTGCCTTAAAAGCAACAAAATATATTTTACAAATACATGCAACAAGTTTTGAAGGCTTACTCCAATACAAACTGTATTGATAATTCTCGGCATTTTTCTGATGGATCTGAAAATAGCTTAAGAACAGGTTTCAGTATCGACTCAAAACAACCCTGCAGAATATCAGCTTTGAGTGGTGGGGCTTTTCGGAGCATTTCTTTCGTAATTTTCTCTATAGCTCGTCTTCTTGTTGATTTGTTATTTTCGCACAGACAATTGACGTCTCGTTGAATCATCTATAAAAATATCACAATGTTTTACGTTCGCATTAATCTTATTTGTAGGTGATTAGTAGAAGAAAAAAACTGTATAAAACTTCACAAATACTTTTTCAACAACACCATGCAATCAGGGTTTGGCTACAAGCCATATTTAAAATCTTGAGGATTGCTAATATATACTTAATAGATTTAGGATGGTAGAAGTGTATGCAGGTTCGATTTTGTAAAATGCTAAAACTATTTGAAAGGCAAATTGCGCTGCATTCATCATAACAATCGTGATACATTCTTCAGCGATACTGCGTTTAGGAATCTTAATTGAGGAAGACTGGATAAGAAGTAGCTACGCCGGTTCGGTGCAACATGTCCTGTAAATGACTTGAAAATTGTATTGCTGAAATCCCGAGAGCCATCTTTCAAACCGGGCAAGAGGTATGAACACAGGATTGTTATTGATAGGTTGTAATGGATTTTGCTTGCTGAAATGTAATAGAAGGGGCGTCCCAGGCAGACTTTACAGTATTCTTAATGGCGGGGAAACATCACCTATAAAACTTGGCAGCGGGCTTTACTTCGTTATCAAGTATGACCTAAGATTCTAGAGATTTTCTCAAAACAAGTGAGGAGTAAGATGACTACCTCTAAGGTTGTCAACATCAACACCAACAGTCCTTAAGACTCCATGAACCCGGGCAATACTACAGGTTCAAACCATTCACTTCATTACAAAATGTTTGCAAAATCACACAAACAGATTACTCAATGTTTTAGATGGCCCATATATGTAGCAAGGATAAAAGGATGAAGCCCAAGATTAAAGTGTGGAATTTCAGTGAAGATATGTACTGAAATCATAGAGATGTTTCGAGTTGCGCTCACAGATAGGGAGATGTGAGTATGCTATAGACATAATAATGAAGAAAAGTTAAAGACAATAACCTGGAATGGAATGCCTTGAATTCTTATAAAAAAATTGATAACAGAAAGAAAAAAAGATTCAGATCTGGGACACAGTGGGAGAAAAGGAAAACTGATGGAGAAAGAAAAATAGCAATAATCAAAATTTCTCGATTTCATTTATCAGGCCCTTATCAATTTTCCTTAGTTCGTTACATCTCTTCAATGATATATGTATCTCGGATGTCAAAGTTAGGCAGAGGGAAACTTGCATATTGAAAATGGCAGAGAGAAGATGGTATTTTGTTAACGTTGAAACATGTTTGCTTAAAAAATCATCATTTTTATTAAATGTTTTCTAAACTTGGTGCTACCCAGAAATTATTTAGTAATCAATCATTGTTATGTAAACATTCTGGCAAAAATATGCTCTTTGCCATATAGAGTACAATTTCAGTAAAATGTTTTAACCCCTTCAACTGCTTTAAATCCTTCCACGAAATAGCATTTCAGAGACTTCATTACAAATTTCCCTATATGCCATCAGCCCTGAGTCTAAGCCCTATCTCTGCCCCAGAAAAAAACTTCAAAGATTACTGCACTGGAACATAGCAAGATTGCTTTTTTGGATGGTTTGTTTTAAGATTAAATAAAGCAGAAGCTTCCATTGGTATGACTACAAATCCATAAAATAAAAGATAGAAAGTCCAATGTAGATGATCAAAGTGATGGTAGAAAGTCAAATATTGAGGATGCAACATCACAACTGTTCGTATCTTGCCGTATAAATTTTCATTGTTATGCATTACTTGTTTCTACAACAGCTAATTCTGAATGTGTAAGCCATTGTGTTGCAGCAAGGAAATTTCTGTGATGCCGAAATTTTAACTCGCAGAAGGCATAGCCTTTTTACGAAATTACAAAAAATACATAACGAAACATTTTGGTGTGAAATAAAAAAGTCATTTTTTCATTCTAGACATCGTAAGAATATTTTCATTTGAGAAAATGTGTTGAATACTTGAGTCAAGTCGCCCAAGTTAGTTGGCGCAGAACTAACATTTCACATTCGAAATTTTTTTTGTAAAGCCCAAGTCTTGCATTAAACAATATCCACTAAAAAACTCGAAACTAAAATGAAATATCAAACATAGCAAACAAACATTCTACTTCGTCTTACTTGTAATGAATTTGATATCTGATCCTTTCGTGAACTCAAATCACCCGCCATCTTGTTCACTATTGTGAAGGTACCACGGGATTCAATTTTACAGGATCACGGGACTCAATTTTACAGGATCCAATTTTACAGCGAAGGTACCAAGGTTAGCACTATTAGGGAGCTTTAACAAAGACTAGGAGTACGACTACGAGTACGATTTACGTCATTTTGGCACGATAACATTGTTGCGACAACAAAACACGTAGCCGTCATCAATCTGAGTACGATGTTTTGTAAAAAAATTCGTAATCGCGACTACCATGTCTTTAAGCAAAGAAAGTAGGTAAATTTCTTCATTCTGTAAGAAATTAGTTTACAGTACTATTTTCGAGCAACCAGGCTTTAATTTAGAACCTTTTTTAGCGCAGATGTACATTAAAAAGGAAAATATGATCTGCAAAACTTTCATGTATTTCGTACGCAAAGTGAAAGGTAAACAAACAATACAATAGTACAAATATTTCGTACATAAAACTTAAAATAGTGAAGATTTTTCAGTCTAAAGAGTCCTATATTCTCGCAAAACCAGTATTACCGATTCGTTGATATCATTATTGACAAATAGAACCGTAGCTGTTTCGCACACTTCGGTGTTTTACACAATAAAAAGGCTCGTTTTGTTGTTTACAACTAAAACAAAATTTTAACGAAGCGACAACGACAACAAAATTCCTCGTGCCATTCTCTTACACGGTCAAACTTCGCACTCGTCGTAGTCGTACCAGTGAACTCCACATATATATATATCTGGAATGATAACGACAATACATTTTATAGATATAAAATTGAAGCTAAAGTCCTAGTCTCTTGCGCGGTTTGTACGTCAGTTCCAGTCCTTCAATGTCAAATATTCACGCGGTTTGTACGTCAGTTTCATTCCCCTGAGTGCCAAACATACACGGCCAATATAAATTTGAATACAAATTGCAAAAGCATAAACATATAAACAACATCACGACAAATAACACACGAGGCCAACTCTTCGCAAAAGGTTATTTTTAACAGCTGAAACTTTACTACAGTGATTTCGTTGTAACTTACAACTTGTTAAGAGGAAAAGCCAACTGAAAATTACACTGTATGCTAAAAAGACAACACAATAAGAAAATATGACGAGAAAATATTCAAGCAAAAATTTTTCTTACATCGGAAGGTAAATTTTCAAACGGTGTCAGACAGTGTTTGTCTTTTTTGTCTTTTAAGTGGATTTAAAGATCTGTTTTCCGAAAAAAGAAACTTGAATATCCAGTTTCATAAAAATATGGAGTCTATAACTCGCATTTTACTTTTACAAAGCGATTGTCATTTTCATCGATTTTGATAGTGTTTCAAGTACTAAATGGTTGTCATCTCGATATCAATAATTGAATATCCTTAAAGACTTTGATATATTTTAAAGGAAAACCGCAGCGTAATAGCAGATCGGCTAAGTTCACCTGACCTTGCTTTTCGATTTATCACTTTGATTCACTTTCCGTGAACCTTTTCATTCCAAAAATTTCGTTATTTTTACGCTCTGATCAAGATCTGAACTCTACCATTACCAAGCGACAAATGATTAAAAAAATTAAAATGAATACGCGAGAGACTAGAGCCTGACGTGTAATGACAAATGATGACGACAAATGTTTTTTTTGGCTTCAATTTTTGGCTTCGGTTATCATTCCAGTTATTCAAATGTCGAGTTCACTGAGTCGTACTCTTGCTTAAGCTCCCTATTTTCCACCCAGCAAACCGCCCTTTACTTTGAAATATATTATTTTACACAATCGGAAATAAATTAAAGATGGCGGCTAAAAGGAAACCATGCATGCACTGGTGCTAGTTCGTTTTGAGATGGCGAGTAATTTCATATTTTTATAATACTGTTTTTTACATCAAAATATGAAAATATGTAAATATTGCAGTATAAACTTTCATGCACCCATCTTAAGTTATAAACTTATAGTAGAGTCAAATACACACCCACTGATATGTGTATTAGACTGGATAACGCATCTCTTGCGAAACTCTGTTTTTTTTTGGGCTTTGTAACGACTGAAAAGTAAAATGGCAAGTTGTATTGAAATTTGAAAGTTGAAGGTGACGAGGACAATTACAGCCGTGTGAGGCATTTTTTGAAGATGAATACTTAAATTACAAATTTGCAACAATGTAAGAACAAAGGTATTCATATCTTCAATATATTCATCGATATTGAAGTTGTTCACATAGGAACTGGTTGAAAACTTTGCTTCGCTTAATATAACACAGAGAGGTACTTTCGCATATTCTTACTATTGTACATTAAAATGTCTTTATGATTATTTTTCTATGTCGATTTGATTTGTTTCTTCACTGATATAATAAAGACGTCATTTGAAATTATTATGATAAGCGATATGAATAACAAAGTGTTCTTAAATAAGTAAATTTTAGCAATCTTCTATAAACGTCATTGAAAATGAAATTTTGGTAGCAGTAGTAGGATCATATAATTTCCTAGTTTGTTTCAAAACAATGCAGGTCGACCTTGTACCATCTCAATTTTCTGCCATTATAAAGCCAAGAAGACAAACTTTTTAGGATTAAATATCGTTGCCGGTTGTTCTGTCCCTTTTAGAAAAATTTTCCTCGAATCAAAAGTTTGTAGAACGAATAAAAACGCAAAAACTGTGATTTTGTAATACAAATGTATATTAAAGTGGACCGATACCCCCCCCCGAAGGTTATAATCAGATGAGCAAACTTCCGGCTTCAATTATCTTACTATATTTCATACATGGAGGCGTTATCCAGTGTGATATACATATCAGTGACCACACCTGACTTTCATCCTTATAATCACCACAGGATTCTACAGATTAGCACTATTTTCTATTCTAACCCGTGAACTCTAATACAACTCACTGAACTAAAATGGAACGCTACCAGAAGAAAATAATTGAAGCCAAATCTTACACCCAAACGCGCGTGTTTTCTGTTTCAAGATTCTCTCGCGTAGTGAAAATTTATTGATTACACACGCGTGTCTGGGTGTAAAATTCGGCTTCAAAAAATTATTAGGCTTTTCTATTACAGGTAGCGTTCCATGTATTTTAGTTCAATGATACAACTGAAAGGCTAACTCCATATCATTGAACTAAAATACATCTGGAACAATAACTCCTATGATTGGTTGAAGCCAAAATACATCTAAAATTTTTCAAACTCCCCCCTGAAATAATGCGTGTTTTTGGCGACCGATGCTTCTTTAGGCTTCTTAGAAGAAGAAAAACATGAAAAATGATTTATTGTCGTTTTTTACACATTTTGGGCTTTGAAATTGCATCTAACAGAATTGGTTCATGCTGCAGGAAGATATTTTGAGGAGAAATATATTCAACAAGAATCGAGGACGATCAATCAACAAACTAATTCAATTTTACAAGACGGAACTAAATGTTAAAAAATATGAATTCTATATAAAACATTTGAATATTCGCAGCATTTTATACAACTTTTTCGTGTATGGTTCATGCCATTTACGTTATAATAATGCTTCTATGGTACATTTTGTTTGATGTCACACAATTTTTCCTTGTTTATTTCATTATTGTTTTCGTAAGAGCTGCCAAGCTCAATCGGCCCGCCGTGATATGCATTGTTTTCAATTTCTTTTTCTCTCAATAATTGCTTTTCACAGACATGGAGTGTTGCTTTTTTGAAATATTTTCTGGATTCTTATGCATTTACATTAATAAATAGCTTTTTAAAAACACTTTTTGCGTAGATCTTTCACTTTACTTTATGACACTGACCTGTATGTATATTTGCTGTAAGTGTATTTTCATGGCATCAAAAATGCTTCTAAAAAAACACATTTTTCTCTTTGGCAAAACGCTTGATTTTTACAAAACTTTATAGGCTTGTGTATTTAAAATGGACCGACAATATTTAGGTGGTTTAACGGTTGGGTATGCCTAGAACTTTCAAAAACTCAGAAAAAGCAACAAACATCGCGCAGACTTTTCGTAATTTTTGTCTTTGCTTCAAAATTTCTCAGCAATTCTATGACTTTCGGCCGATTTTATTTGACATTCTATAATTTTGACTAATATTCTTTAAATTCAATGTTATTTCAAAAAACTATCGCAAGGCTTACTTTTGAAATTTTACAAACATAGAAATGCTATTTTTTGAATTATTTTTACAAAAGGACTGGCACGACCTGCAAAAATAAAAAAAATCCAGCTTCATTTTACCCCCCTGACTTATTGTTACAGATGTATTTTAGTTCAATGCTCCATAAATATAAACATGCCTCGAACATATATACTGATGTTTTCCTGTTTTTTTATAAAACGCAGCATACTTTTCTGTTAATTCTTTATGTGTGAAATCGTAAATTAACCAATTTATTTGCAAAATAGTTTTCCTGACGCCAAAAAGACCCGGCACATTTACTTAGTGAGTAGATACCAAAAAGAAGCGATCAGCATAAACAGTACACATCATTTGAAGAAGAGCTTGTTATGTTCTCCTATTTGGTTACACCATGCAGTGAAGATCTGGTTGCAAAGATAATTGGAAGACGTTATTGACCAGGAAAAGTGACGAAAAAACGATAAAATTGAAAAGACAAATGATTCATTGTCTTGCCTATCTAGAGTTATTTAATTTGATCACGGTCAAATTCTATAGAGGAGACAATAGATTCACCAAGGATGCCTTGAATGCTTTGAAATTAAAGTTCGAGAATCAAAGAAAAATGGCAAAAAGGTTGTTAGTGTTCTTACACTTGATGAAATGTCAATTCAAAAAACGTGTAAAATGTGATTGTCAAATTGGTCATAAAGTTTGTGTTTATGTGAATATTGGGTACTGAGATTGGGTACTGACTCACTGTAGATGTATAACTTCCAACTGTAAAATCCATTGAGTGTTATATTGCTTAATGTCGTCATGTCATATCTTTATCATAAATGTTTTAGTAGAGTATTGTTTGAATGTTACTAATAGCTAATGCATGCTACAATAAAGCATTAAAGTATCAGGGATGTAACTTTAAAAACACAGTGATATTTATTTCTTCTAATTTTCAGTTTTTGGTTTACAAAAAAATATTGAGCTAATTTGCCTATTAGAGTACAAAAT